GTTCATCCAGACAATGGGATAGTATTCAGCCTTAGAAGGAAGGAAATTCTGACCCACACTCCAACGTAGATGAACCTTGAGGACATTATGTTCAGTGACATAAGCCAGACACAGGACAGATACTGTGTGATTCCACTCACAGGGCCCTGGAGGAGTCAGATCCATAGAGACAGAAAGTGGATGGTGGGAGCCACGGGCTGGGGGAATTAGTGTTTCATGGGGACAGAGTTTCCGTTTGGGAAGATGAGAAAGTTCTGAAGACGGATGGAGGCGGTGGCTGCACAGTAGTGCTTAATGCCACCGAGCTGTACACTTAAAAGGAGCTTCTTTGAGTCACCGCAGCCCAAGCAAAGGCCTAGAGTCGGGACCAAGCCTGGGAGAGCAATTGTCTGGAGCACAGACTCCGCATCAGGCTCCCGTCCCTGGCAACCACTGGCTCCGTGACTCTGAGCTGGTGACCTTATCTCCCGAGGCTGTTTCCCCACCTGCTAGAAGGGCCAGTAACAGCCACCCTCCTCAGGAGGAGGAGAGGGCCGGGGTCAGGAGGGGACACAGATCAGCAGTGTTGGGCACGAGATGCTGCTGCTGCTGTTAGGACTCTTCTCGAGGGCAATGGGGAGCCATGGTGTATTCTTGAGCAGGGAAGGGACAGATAGACATGAATTTGTGGGGCTGGGGAACTACCCTATTGAAGCTGCCGTTGCCTCCCCACTCCACAGAGAGCGTGTTGAGGACCGACAGGCCGTCTAAGATCATCAAACTGGACACCGTGCGGGTGATCGCGGAGAAGGTAAGCAGGGTCCCATTTCATGGATGGGGAACCTGAGGCCCAGGATCCAATCTGTTCTCTCCCCAATCCCTGCAAGTGTGGTCTCCCATGGAGCCCCCTCCAGAGGTTTTGTGATGTGAAGGCTTGAGGGGGACAGAGCCTGCCCAGAGTCACACACAGCCCTGGGAAGGTAGAGAGACACCAACTGGGGCTCCGGGCCTCAGACGCTGTGGCCTGGGTTACCACCAACCCCACCTCCAACATGCTGGCCTGTGGATGTGCGAGGGTGGGGTCCGCTCTGACCTGACCCTTAATCTCCCTGTGATTCCTCACTGTCTCTTCGGCCTGTTTCTGGGTGTGTTTCTCTCTCCGCTCTCATCCTCTCCCACTGCCCCCACCATGGGCCCTGCGCAGGACAAGCACGCGCTCCTAGACGTGACACCCTCGGCCGTGGAGCGCCTCAACTACGTGCAGTACTACCCCATCGTGGTCTTCTGCGCCCCCGAGAGCCGCTCGGCCCTCAAGGCTCTGCGCCAGTGGTTGGCGCCGGCCTCCCGCCGCAGCACCCGCCGCCTCTACGCTCAAGCCCAGAAGCTGTGGAAGCACAGCGACCACCTCTTCACAGGTAGGAAGGGATCGGGAGCGGGGGGAGGCTGGGGGTCTGGCCTGAGTCTCGGCCGCACTGACGCCCCCTCCCCGCAGCCACCATT